AAATTGTACATACCCCAGAATGCATCACCTAGTATATTGTCAGTCCTTTTCCCCCAACACTTTCTCATTTCCTCCCATTGGAAGAGGGGTCGTCTTATATGGTGGAGTATATCCTAAACTCTATATTTTAGTTGGAAAGTTTGGGGTCGTCTTATACGCCCAGTCTTATGCACCAGAAAATACGGGTATTTCCCCTTATCACTATCTCCTTCTCTGTAGGCAGGAGTGCACTAGGACTCTGAATTGAGTTTTTTGTCCACCTTTGCAACTTCAGTCTGCACCACCACCACCACCCAAGTGTTTAAGGTTCGTTTCATACTGCACAGTTGTAGTACTATGATTCCACTTGAATTGTCATGGCTACATCCCATATAATACTGATATTTGCAATTTAGGAAGGGATATTTAAAATTCTTTACCAGAGAGCCAAACAAGTGTTTAAGGAAACAACTTGAAGACACACTGCCAGCACCATCAAATTTCTGTAGGATGTTGCCATGGCAGTTCAAGTGGAATTATAGTGCTGTAATTGTGTAGGGCCCAAATAGAATCTGTCATAATGTCATTTCGTTATATAATATATAGCTCTTGACATATCCATCTTTAGATTATTACATGTGATGGTACCTTTGCTTTTGGTAGGAAAAATGAGTCTGGTGCTATTTCTCAGACTAACAGAAGTACTATGGCATAAACTTTCTTTGCTAAGATCACTTTCATCCATTATCCAAAGTGGGAATCCAAAGTGGGACGCTCAGTGGGAATTTAATTACAAAATGAGGGCAAAAAATGGGCAGTGTGCAAGGCAGGTATGTATCACACTGCTGTGCAGAACAGAAATGAAAACAAACTGGTCAAAAGAGTACAATATCTGGTATGGACGTAACCTACTCCCCATTGGTAATGACTTGTGTACAAGATTGCTCTGAAAGGATCAGTTATATTTCATTATGAGCCAGATACTGCCAAGTCTCTTGGGTAATAAGCCCACATCTAATTGTGTCAAATGCTTCAGATGAGCTCTAATTCACCAGTTTCATATGAGAGGCTCTTTGAAACTGTCAAAAACATTGATTTTTTTTAAAAAATCTCTCTCTCTCTCTCTCTCTCTCTCTCTCTCTGCGTGCGTGCGTGCATGCCAGGTAAGGAAAGCAAAAGAGTCAGTGTGGTGTAGTGATTTGAGTGTTGAACCCTTAGGACTGTTTGAATCCATGGGTGATCTTGGGCAGGTCACACAGTCTTATCCTAAGAGGAGGGCAATGGCAAACCCCTCTGAACAAATCTTGCCAAAAAAAAATCCTGTGATGGGATCATCAACAGTTGGGAATGACGAAGGCACACAACAACAAGGAAAGCAATCCATGAATCTTGAGAGTGTGCCATAGTTCTACCTGCCCCCTTGTACTGTTTGTTTGTAATCAGAATTAAAATAGAGCTTCATGGACCACTTTAAACAGGTGCCATATTCCAGAAAAGTTCTTTCCCACAAGGAAAAGCCTCCTGTACAGTAGATACACAAGTCAGTCATGGCAATTTCCTGTTGATTCTGGTCAAAGGATTAGCAGTGTTTTAATTCAGAACTTGTTCCTTGAATTCAGCTTCTCTGAACTGCTTGTGTCAGCTCCCAGTGGACATTTAATGGCTGCTTTCCTCCCATTGTCTTTTCTTTTGAATGAACCAAAACAAAACATATTAGATAATCATCATTTAAAGATTCCACTGACAATAAGGGTCAATTAAGTGAAGTGGTTTAGCGAGCAACAAATCGTACTAAATATGCAAACAAGAAGTTTAATTAAAGGCAAAGAAACATTGTGAAGTCTGTCTGCCCAGGTTTTAGCTGGTTACACAACAGGCTGGTGCTGAAATTGCATTTTATTTGAGGGTGGCTGGGTTACAGTTTGGTCTCTAGAAACCAATAGGACAATGCAGAAAATGCTGGAATGTGACCTGAAAATACTATGTCACTGTTGAATAAAACAAGATCACTGAGAGGTGGTGGCTCACATGTGAATGGTGGTGGATTCTGAGCTAGACTTAAAGGAAGCTATCTGAGCTAATGAATATTTTTTGTGGGGGAACAGAGTCCAGCACCTTGGATAGCGCCTTTAAAATTCAGACTAGGGCCCAGAGCAGAATCACTGCCTCACTGACATGGAATGGGATCCACCAACAGAAACTCAATGTGACTGAACAAAGGACATTCATTCTTTAAAGATAAAAAAGTGAGATGGGATGAAGTGAAGCAGCCTCAATCCTGGAGATAACTGAAGACTGCGACACTGCTAATGTTAAACATATTGTGGTGGTGGTCATGATGTGCCTTCATGTTGTTTCTGACTTATGGCGAGCCTACCGTAGTGTTTTCTTGGCAAGATTTGTTCAGAGTGGTTTTTTCCTTCGCCTTTGTGCCTTGCCCACAGTCATCCAGTGGGTTTCCGTTCCCAAGAGGAAATTCGAATCTTGGGTTCCAGAGTAGCAATCCAACACTAAAACTACTATACCACACCTGCAACATTTCAAAGAGAGAGAGAGGGCATTTTTTAAAAAAATTGGATTTAGTAGTATGAAGATAGTATATGGAGGGATTCACTCTGTCTATGGAATATATTAGCCCATGTTTGCATAAGATATTTGTAGACTCTTTTAACTGAAAGAGATTATATAGGAAATTGCAAGAGATCACGGTATGTAGGAACAATAGTGCTCAGCAGCAAAAAACATTCAAAACCTGTCTCTGGTTGGCAACACGGTGCTCAGCAACCATCCCCTCAACAACTCTCCCTTAATGTCCATGATGGCCTCTTGCTCCTCTTCATTTGTTTTGTTGACT